TAATTCAAGGATTTCGATAGAGACAGTCCCSGCCAGCCGGAATTACAAGCTTGCTTTAATTTGATTTAAAATTGGAGTCAGTGATCTTTTCTTTGTTTCATGGTTTAACAATCCTGCCCTCTCAGCCTCCTAATAGCTGGGAATGCAGGTGTTCCCCTCCATACCTAGCTCTCCTCTGTATTTTATTTATTTATTTATTTATTATTTGGTACTAGAGATTGAACCCAGGGAACTTAACCACTGAGCCACATCCCTAGCCTATTTAATTTTTTAGTTTGAGATGGGCCTTGCTAAGTTGCTGAGGCTGGCTTTGAACTTATGGTCATCCTGCCTCTACTTCCCGAGCCTCTGGGATTACATGCCTGGTTCTCTCTCATTTTAAAAGCCAGTTTCTCAGTCCCTGAATTATCTTCACCGCTACTGCCCTCTCTTGTTTCCATCCTATAGAATGGGCTGGTGAAGCTGGGAGTCTTGATGGTTGTTACAGCTTTACCCTTCTGGTCCCAGGGATCATTTTCTGACCTCTTTAGTTCCCCTGAACCAGTAGGAGAACTAGTGGGTGAGTCTACTAATGAGGACTCCGGAAAAGCCGATGGTCCCCACAGTGCAGGAGAAATGGAGAAAAGGAGCATCACTCCTTTAAGAGGCTCAGCCTGCATCCCCCTAGCACCAACTATTGCATTCACCAAATGGTGAGGAGAGCCCTCCCTATTGTATAGAGGAGACATAGAGGAGACGTGACTTGCCTACAGTCACATGGCTTGCAGAGAGGGGGAGACCAAATGGGTAGACAAGGAGATTTGTACATCTTCCCTGGCATTACCTATCCAGGTAGATAATAAGGAAAGGGCAAGGAATGGGGCTTTGATCATCCCTGTACGGTATGAACCAAGCCCTGCTGTGGCCCAGACACCCATCCCAAAGAGCCCTGTGTTGTCCCAGCTCAGGGAGTCACTCCTAAATTGGGCAGCAAAACCGACTCCCAAGACCCCTCTTCACAGGACTTATTTTTTTTTTAATTTTAATATTTATTTTTTAGTTTTCGGCGGACACAACATCTTTGTTGGTRTGTGGTGCTGAGGATCGAACCTGGGGCCGCACGCATGCCAGGTGAGCGCGCTACCGCTTGAGCCACATCCCCAGCCCTTCACAGGACCTATTCCTGCCAGGTCCTTCTCTCCCAGAGGCCAGGCCCAGGCAGGACCCCCAGAGGCAGCAGCACAATGCAGTGGACAATTAGCCATGACCCAGGATCTGCCCTTCTGGGAGCCTGTCTCCTGCTTGTGCCTCACTTTGCTCATCCTTAAACCAGGCCRGGCTGTTCCTTTGGTTCTAAGATTGTTCGTTTGTTTTTACAGAAGTTCCCATTCTTATTTTTATCCTTCAGGTCTGCAGTCCTATCCACTAGTCCTGTTTTTTGGTCCCCAGAACCTTCAAGAAAAGACTAAATGTAGAGTCGTGGGTCACTAAATCTTCTTAGATGTGCATCACTAAACAGTCTTGTAATTGTGAGAGCATTACAGAGAACTTACACAAACCTAGATGCTATAAGTCACACTCCATGTTACCTTTTCTATTATTATTATTATTATTATTATTACTATTACTATTATTGGGATTTAACCCAGGGATGCTTTACCATTAAGCCCTATCTCCAGCCCTTTTTATTTCTTATTTGAGACAGGGTCTCGTTAAGTTGTTCAGGGCCTCACTAAGTTGCTGAGGCTGGCTTTTGAGCT